CTCCCATGCAGCCATTGACTGTTCACACTTCTCCCTGATTTGGTACTGATTGTCAGTTTCTATGCCAGTCAGCATCTCTGGGCCTATCAACGGGCCTTATCAGAGAGGTGGGGCTGATCAGCAGCCGCAGCAGAGGTCTGAGAGAAAGAGAGGCACAGCTGCTGGCCAGGCCCCCAGAGAAACAGAGAGGCAAGGGCTGATCAACAGCTGCCACAGCGGTTATGGACCAGACCCTGCTTCTCTCTCCAGGCCTCTCTTCAGGCCTGATCCACAGCCCCCTTGGCAGTTAGTGCTGGGTCGCCATGGTAACCCAGCACTGACTTCTGGTCGGTCAACCCTTTGGTCATTTTGGATGTTATGGACCCTGGATTTTTATATATTAGGAAACTTTATTATTCAAATTATTTTCTCATATATGCCAAAAATCAGAGTGATCATACATTAAAAATTATTTTAATCATCTTTCAACTGACAATTTGATTATGTCCTTCTTGAATTTTGCTTAAAGTAAAAAACTGGAAACACTCAATTTGCAAAAGAACTTGCTACCCAGTCATTAGAATGATTAACTGTTAATTTTCTAGATGTAAAATTAAAAGGCATTAGTAAGATCTCTCAAATGACTATTAATTATGCATGCTATTCTTTCATTTATAGACTCTTTATTTTATCTGATATACAAGGTAAGGTTGGGAAAAATGAAATATTGTTAATTTCATTACACTTCAATAAATACTTTTTTTATTAAAATGTCTTTATCTTAATAAGTACTTTAACCAGAACATTAGAGTTGCAAATTTAGTTTATTCAACTAATGAGAAATATTCATCATAAAAACTTAATTGGTAAGGCCAGTTTTCATTGTCAAAACCGTGAGCCAAATAAGACAATGTTCAGAAAAAGTCTGATTTTATTTTTCAACTCAACAAGTATGCTATTACTCATCCTTAGAAATCTAAGATAGATAAATCTAAGAGCTCTGTCATGAGCTTTTTATCATGATAAAGTTAAGACATCAGATTTTTATCAAAATTTACACCCTCCTTACTTTCACCAGATTTTCTTTCCAGGGGCTGGATGAAATAGTCTTATGCAAAGAGGTTATCATCTCTGTTGTTCCAATGCATATTAATTTAGAATATCCCAACATGGAATTGCGAACTCAACACTTTACCTTAACAGAAAAATGTATGGACACAGGGAGCACATGAGGCCATGCACTGGGTTTATAAATCCTTTATTAGAAGATGCTGCACTGACATCTTTACTTTGAACATTTTCCTTTGGTGCCAGGGAGGCTTCCCCAAAGTGAAGGATCACAGTTAAGATTTGGAGTAAAAGCCGTGTCATTTTTTTTTTTTTTTAAAGTTCAAGACAAGCATTGGGTCAAGAGATGTAGGAACTAAGAATCAGTATGACACCATAATCTCAGGGTGTTCTCACGCAACCAGTCCTAAGAAAGGTTGTATGAAGGTTAAAGGTTCTGGAAACTAAAGCTCCTTAAAAATACTCATGCCCCTCTGTTCCTTGGAAATCTTTATGTACCTTTTTGTCCTCAGTTTGAAGACTTAGGTACATAATCAATCAAACACGTATCCAAGTTAACTTCTTCAGAGGCAGGAGACCACTGAAGACTCCGAGGCTTTAGGAGATGGAGGCCTGACTAGGGAAGAACTGGGACTTGCCAATAACTGAATGAAACCAAGTCCCCCTACAAGCTCACTTCAGTGTGGAGGAGGAATGAACCTTTGCTTGTTAAACCACCAAGACTTTGGGATTGTTTGCTACAGCAGGTAGCCTCCCCTAATTAACAGAATAGCAGATGGTGCTGGACAGAGTCTCACTACTGCAGGGATGAAATAGTCTTCTAGCCAAAAAATGCAATGTCCAGGCAGGAAATTGAATGGGAGTCACAACCAATTCTCCCGGGATTAGGTGGTGCCAGAAAGAGGCTGGATGGGGCCAAATCAAAGAGAATAGACCACAGGTTGCACCAACTACAGACTTCATGGCAGATTCCAGCAGAATTCCCAAGAGTGGGGTCAAACAACTACCTTCAGTGGACACCAGGTAACACACATCCACAGCCAGTTATCATCTTCTCCCCCAGTACTGCAAGGACACACCAAGTTCTCATATATCCATCCATCGTTTTGAGGAGAGAAAGGAAACTCCAAAAGACTGGACCTTTATCTAAAGACACCAACTAATCCATGCTTGGTAGGGAGGGGACCTTTCAATAGAAGAAACATTTAAATTGCAAGAAAACTGCTGGGATGGGAAGAACCATTGAACTTAACAAGAAAAATGCAAGATTTTCCATTACCTAGAGTCATAGAAAATAACTGATTTTTTTTTTTTGGAAGGGGCACATTAATTATATAATACATAAATGTGTTTGTAATTCTGCTACTTTTTTTCTTTTCAGACGATAGCTGTGAAATCAAGTTCAGATTAAAAATGGATATGGAAAAATGTTTGTTTAAGTGCACATACCGTATTTTCCGGTGTATAAGACGACTTTTGAAACTAAAAAAAGCCTGCTCAGATTGGCCAGAGACAGAGAGGCAGTCTATTAAAAAAAGAACTGGTGTTGCCTCGGAAGTGGGGGGTAGTCTTATACAGTGAATATAGGCCTAAACCTATGTTTTAACTGTAAAATTAGGGGGTCGTCTTATACGCCGGAAAATACGGTCTATGAATAAAACAGACTACTTCGGTACTTTCTATTTCTGAACATGCAGTATTGTGAAGGACTGTATGATCTGTCCATGGGGACAGAGTCTCCAGGGATGTGGTTCAATATCAAAGTACAGAGCATTGACAAGCAGTACAGTTTCTTTCTGCAGAACTAGTTTATGAATGACATACTTGGTCAAACTGTTATGTGTGACTATTTCACTTCAACATAGCTTGACTGGAAGGATAATTGATTAGCTTTTTTTAAATTTTTAAATTTTTTATTTTTTTTACCAAGTCCACTGAAAAGACCAGAACAGAACTCTAATTTCACTTGATAGATTGTTAGATTGGGCTTTTATACTATTTGGTTTTGACAATCATTCTTTTGCATTATAAATATACAACTGTCACATAATATAATATCTTAAGAATATAAAGTCTTAAAACTTACAAAAATTATGGAAGCTGATTGCTCCAGTGTGTAAACTACACACACAAAATAGTAGCAAAGAGCTGCTTTGGGAAGCTGTATTTACTGTTTCAAACTATGGGGTCTTCATTCCGAGGGCATGCTCTCCAGATTGTATTTCTAATGATGATGGTTTGCCACTGAGAAACATATTTGTACCTTCTCCCGGAGCTCCACCTTGTGACTAGTGGCCACCAGCTTTGAGGCAGTTGGTTGTAATACCTAAAATGCACACTCTAGCTGAACCAGTTTGGATCAGTGGATAGAGCATCGGCCTGTGGACTGAAGGGTCCCAGGTTCGATCTTGGTTAAGGGCATGTACCTTGTTTGTGGGCACATCCCCAGTTGGGGGTGTGCAGGAGGCAGCTGATTGATGATTCTCTCTCATCAATGTTTCTAACTCTATCCCTCTCTCTTCCTCTCTGTAAAAAAATCAATAATTTTTTTTAAAAAGAAAAAAATGCACACTCTAGGGAGACCCTAATAACCCCCAGTTTTTCTCTAACATGAGACCTTACTTAATATTCATAACCAACTGATATTTTCTGCTCCTGCATTTCTTTACTGGTTTACTGCCCATTTTCCTTCATTAGAAAAGAAGTGCCCTGAAAACAGAGATCTCATGGACCTGCTTACCACAGTATCTCCAGTTTGTAGAATAGCTCTTGGTTCTTAATAGGAATTCAATAAACATTTATGGACTGAGTAAACCCTTAAATATTGATGGTGAACTCATGTTTCTTTATAAGAAGTTAATAAAGGAAGATAAAATCAGTGATTTCAAACTTACAGACAGTAACATGTTTTTAATCATTATTTACCTACTGCACTTACTAGTTCAACACAATGGAGTTGCTTCCCTGGAACCACAGTTTACTAAACAGAACACTTCAAATAAACTCCCTTAAATAGCAAAGGGGTTGAGATTACTGCTGGAGAATAACTTACTTAGTGCTGCTCAACATATTCTCGAGTCTGGTTCTAATGGAACTATAATTCAGATCTTTAATTTTTCCCATTTAAATACATGTTACATTCTACATCTTTTTGGTTGTTAGGAGTGTTAAATATTATTTTATACCTTCAGTTTTTAATAAAACCCATGAGTTTTAACAGGATTAAGATCTCAATAAATTTATTTTGAGCTTATCTCTACGATATTTTTAACTATCAAACTTAGTCATCATTTAATAATGGAATATTTTGGGCCACATTATGTGGTTGTTTATGAAAGCATGCTGCTAACCAAGATTTTGCTATTTAAGGAAAAGTAAATTTTCTTTTCCTTTAGTTTGAGAAATCAGAAGTAATAAAAATGAGTCACCTAAATATTAGTTTAGAGTCCAGAATCTATCACTTTTAAGTGTAGAAATCAGTATTTTCCAAACCTTGCTGTTATACTGATTGAATTAAAAACATTGCATTACAAACAAAGAAGAAACCTCTCAGAAGGTTTTTCTTTTCCTATCACATACAAGTTTACGGTTTTACATTTTGTTTTGCTTCCTCTCTTTTCATGGAATGAAAGTGGCTAAACGTCTAAATAGCAGAGTTTTAAAATTCCCCCCAAAATATTTGGTAGCAACCTAGTAATGCAAAAACTGCTATTAATGTTGGTTTGAGAGTTTTCGAGAGGGTGTTTCTTTTAATAGTTCTTGTTTTCAGAATAATAACCATTGTGTAATTTCCCCTTTGAAAGAATAGATCACAGGTGTGGGAAATGAATAACTCAACACCCATCTAATTTGGTTAAATTCACTTTGAGATTATCACTTTTAGCGACACAATTCACAGTATAATGGCATCTGGTCTGTAAAGAAAAATACAGATGAGGCTCTCCTTGCAGTCTTTACTCGTCCTCATGACTGTGGCTTTCTCTGGCTTCATTGCTGTTCTCAAGATCTGAAATGAGAATATTTTCTTCCAAATGTGCTGTACTGAAGTTGGTTGTGGGATAGTAAGGGTTCCGAAACTCCAGGAGCCTCCTAAAGGCACCACTGCTGTGCTTGTTTATCCAGAAGGCAAGTGTGGAAATGGCCAGAATTGCTATCAGTGTCAGAGCTACTGCCAATGGTATGATGCTGTGACTTGGTCCTGAAAGAAGATGAAAAAAAGGGAAAACTTCAATGGCAATGAAGTACAATAGACACCCTCACATAGTTACTTTCTATTTTATTATTTCTAAGAAAAATAAAAATGTTCTCTACTGCTCCAAACATACCTTTTCCTGGATGTTCCTTTGCCACGTGAATATCTAAAATTAAATACAAAAGAAAATGAGATGAAGTTTTTCTTTTAAGTCAGCAAAATGGTGTCATTATTGGTAGCGGGGCTCAGCAAACTATGGCCCATGGGTTAAATCTGAGCTTTTGTTTTTATAAGTAACTAGAGGCCTGGTGCACAAAATTTGTGCAGGGGAGAGGTGTTTAGCTCGGCCTGCACCCTCTCACAATCCGGGGGCAATGGCTCCTAACCGCTTGCCTGACTGCCTGCCTGATTGCCCCTAACCACTCTGCCTGCCTGATTGCCTCTAACTGCCTCTGCCTCTGCCCCCGCAACTGTGGCTTTGTCTGGAAAGTATTTGGCTGTCCAGTCTAATTAGCATATTATGCTTTTATTAGTATTGATGTTTCATTGGAATTCAGCCACATTTTCATTTCTGCATTGTGTGTGGCTGTCTTTATGCTACAGTGGCAGCAAGATAGAGACTATATAGCTCCCGGAGCCTGAAATTGTTCTCTCTGGCCCTTTACAGGAGAAGTTTGCTGACCCCTGATTTACAGTAAATATTGTTACACATACACTGCCTTTTTTTTAAGCCAAATAATTCCCTTTCAGTCTCAGCACTGTGCATTTTGTTTGCAATAAAAGTGTGAGTAAAATATATTCGAGTACTTCCTGAATATTTGGATTTTAAAAGCTTAGATGCTAGTGGGTCCACATTACATAAGCTGGAATCAAAATGAAGAATCACCCTCTGACTTTACCCACCTGGCTCCAGTTTACAAATAAATCCTTTTTTTTCTTGACATGGGGATAACTGCCACACTCCTTCGGGGATCCTCAGGGCAACACACAGAGGAGGCTTGATGTGATCCATCTCTGGCTTCCGAATGCCCCAGTTTGATTGGTCTGTGGGAGTTCCATCAAACCACTTCATGGTTTTATCTGTGGAAAAATTGCCAATTTAAAAGTGGCCTTGGTTATCTAACCTACGAAGACTGGAATGAACCATAAAAAGCAGCCCCTAAATTTAATGAAATTCTCTCCTTATCTGGTGCTTTTTAACTCAGTAAGTACAGTTATGAACTCACCTTGTGAACAACTCCCGATTCATTTTAATTCAGTTCCAATTTAGTTCCCCGAGGATTTCATGTTTGCTAACTTAAGTTTGGGATTTGAAATATTTCTTATCATTATAAGCAACTTATAGAAATCATTTAATAAACTAAACTAATAACATAGAAAAAAATTCTCTTGAAGTTCTAACATCTATGTCATTACAAAATGGCTCACTTTCTAAAAGAATTTTACAGTGAATTTCTTTAAATAGCAAGCCAGGGGTATACCAAAGGGTGGGGCCATAGGAGAGTCCATCAATTATAGGAAATGAAGTGGTGCATTGTCTGAAAAGGATTTAAAATCAACAATAAGACTAACTAAAAGTCAGTCAGCTTTTTATCTCCATGTGCTAGAAATTCTAAATAATGTCAGTGATTGAAATAATACTGCTTGCCAAGGTAGACCCACCCTCTACTTTGGTATACCACTTGTTTTATAGGATCTGAGTTGTCCATACCACTTAAAATAATTGTATTGACATGTACTTTCAATAACCATCATTTAAAGAAAGGAAAGAACACTATCCTCTCATTTGAATATAAACTTTGGTTGTTATGGGTAGCAAATAATTCTAATAGCAGAATTCATCAATGAAACATTAAACAAATTTAATACTATTTATTTTTTCAATGTTTTTATTACTGCTAAAATTACTAAATTATTAGACAAAAATTTAGATTGCTTACCAAATGTTACCATCACACTCTATTGTGCTTTTTAACACTCAGAAACATGGGGTATTTTCAAATGAATATGGTTTTGGTGTCTATGACTCAGTCTGTGAACATAAAGTCCCAGTCAAGCATCTTCACGTACATAAACTTGTTTGTTTGTTTTCATTTGGGGTTATTTCATAGGATAGTTTAGAGAAAAGGTTAGCAATACTATTTTTTTAATAGCTTTAATACGTGTGCTATTTTTCACAGCAAATCTATCCAAGGAGAGTTTTCTGGTTTGTAGAGACCATTTCCACCAACCTTGACTACCATGTGCTTGTTTATGCTCTCCTCTTTTCTATACCAATTACTTACTGTCATCGTTAAACTGAGCATTCAACCAAACCATCCGGACAGAAGAAACAAAAACAGAAAGCTCTTCTAGGAGAAATGAATTTTCAGCTTCATCCTTGATTGTCAAAAGATTAGATCCTGTGAAAGACAAACAGCAAATGAACAAGTACTTGTGTTTACATGTAAATACAACTTTAAAAATGTTTCCCATACCACAATTTGTAAAGCTCAGGCTTTGAAAAGTGAAAATTTGCAGTGTATGTAACTGATTTTTGGTGAAAAATGTTAAAGCAAAACCACATTTATTAAGAGATATAAGTTTTAATCTCAGAAGTAAAAGCATAGAGTATTAATTTTAGGGAACATAAAAAATCTGTAATTCAAAAGCATTCAAAAAGAACATTTTATTTGGGGGGAGTACAGTATTCTGAGAAATCATCTTAAGTTTTAAAGTTTTATACTGGACATTTAATCCTATATAATAAAAGTCTAATATGCTAACTGTGTGGTCTACTGGTCAGCCATTCAACCAATCAAAGCATAATATGTTAATGATATACTAAGGCTGCTCAACTGCTTGCTATGATGTGCACTGAACACCAGGGGTCAGACACTCAATGCAGGAGCTGCCCCTGGTGGTCAGTGCCCTCCCACAGGGCTCATGGCTGGCAAGTGCAATGGCAGTGGTGGGAGTCTCTCCGCTCTGCTCTGTTGCAGGCAGGCAGTAAGGAGCAAGGATCCCGGACTGCAAGAGCCCTGGACTGTGAGAAAAATGTCTGATATCCCCCGAGGAGTCCCGGACTTCAAGAAGGCTCAGGCTGAGCTGAGGGAACCCACTCGTGCATGTATTCATGTGCCAGGCTTTTAGTTTCATATATTTAGCCATACTTGAAATAAGTGTAATACTATTTATTTTTCCAGTATTTTTATTGCTGTTAAAATCACTAAATCATGAGACAAAAAATTAGATTGTTTAATAAAATATCATGAAAGAACACATTGACACAGCCCATGGTCCCAGACAGTAGTGTGGTGAGGGCCTGGGGTGGGGCGGGCGTGGGTGGAAGAGATATAAAGGGAAAACAGGGGGACATCTATAATACTCTCAAAAATAAAAATAAATTAAAAAAAAGAAGGAACACATTGAAAGTATGTTACCATCACAAAAGAATTACCTTCCTTTTTGCAAAATTCATGAGCAGCTTCAAAACTCATGCTGTCTAGGACTGTAGAAAAACTGTAGCAATTACTTTTGAATTTTATCCAAGGAATAGATGTTTCAGAACATAGCTCTGGCTGTCCAAATGGTCTTTTTTCTATAAACAAAAATCAGTCATGATTTCAGTGTGGTGACTGAGTTGGGATGAATATCTCATTACATTCTATGAAAGACCAAGATAAATATATGTAATGAGATTTTCATGGTAATAGTCTGAAGAGTGGTTTAATATGCATGATTACAAAACTGGGACTGGTATATAGCATTTCTAGCAGAAATAACCTTTACCTACACATAACAGGGTATAGAGGCTTACCCTGGGTGAGGTGGCTGACTTTCATGTTTACCATGAGTCTCACATTGAGGGATATGATTCATAGGAATACTGGCAGCTGAATGAAACTTGCAAAAGGCAATTCCAAAGGCAATGTATAAAATTTATTACATGCAGTGGTGAATATTATAGATTTAGCAAATCCTTACCTGCTAATAAACTTATTGGAAAAAATAATGCATTAAATTGTGTATCATATAACATCACATCACATAACACAGGGAATTTTGGGGTGGACTTTGATTCAGAGGGCAAGCACAAGGGTCAGACACATCATGCTGAGATCCGAGGTAGGTGGCTTTAGGCCTGATATGGAACCTCCCTATACTTTGGTTTCTTTGTCTACAAAAGAAATCTAACGATAACATCTTTCTTACAGCTTGAGAAGTTTAAGTGAGAGTGCCTGATGCTTCTAAAGCACTCAATAAATGCAGTGATGTTGAAAGGGAAGGCTAGCTCTTGTGGTGTTTTAGAAGCAGAATTGGCTTTTCCAAAGTATGATTATTATCCTGAATTATTTTGAATCTGAAGTTACACAATGTGCATGCTATTTGACTTATAATATCCAGAATGTAAAAAGAGAATGCACTTTTACTAAATGAGAGATTAAAAAAGAGCCCAACTGGTGTTAAGGAACTCTAGGTACACCGCAGCAATCAAGGGAGTGAGGGTTTGGTGTGATGGGATACACATCACACCAGAAAGCAAGGAAACTTGTCTGCTACTACTGGGGCTGTTGATGGACATCTGTGAGATCTTCAAGAAGCTTTTTAATGTTCTGAATTTGTTTCATCCAGGTGAACTTTAAGTATAATGAGATGTTATTATCATCTTAATATTTAAATATATATATATATATATATATATATATATATATGATGTAGACATAAATATCATTGCCATTATTATCACAATGACTCTAGAATCCTAATCGTTGTTGACCTAAACATAAATCCTCAGTGTGTCATTCAAGGTCGTCCATTCTCCTAACCCACTTTCCTAGATGATTCCATACATTTCTCTTAACTATAATTTGTGATGCAGGAAAATCTCAATATCAGCTTTGCCCTATACATGCTCAGTCCTTTCTTCCTTCCTTGTCTTTGCCCAACCTTTTCTGCTCAAAATGTCTCATCATTACCTCATTTACATCCCGCCCATTCTTCAAAAGAAATCTCCTCAGTCAAAAGTCTTTCAAGAAATCTTTCTATGTTTTCCAAGTGGATATGATGTGATTTTTTTCTTGCTAACCCCCACAACACTTGCTACCTCTCATATTTGGTTGGTAGCCCTGTCTTGTATAACAGTTATTTGTCTGTACCTCACCTACCAGACCAAAGGCTTCTTGAGGCAGAAACTCCTTACTCCTCTTCCTCATAGCTCTTCCTGCTTAGCACACTGCCTCACGCACAGTAGGTGCACAGAACCTATGTTTTTAGTTGAAGAGAATTGAACCTACCAGTAGGTACATGACAGATGGCTCCTTGCAGAAATGTCTCACAGGCTGTGCTACTCCAGCACCCATTGGTGTCAGCAAAAACACAGTCACCCAGCAAGGATGACTCATCCTCTTTCCAAAAAGTGAAGGAGGATTTGGTGCCATCTGACCAGTCAAAACTGAGACCATTCTGTGGAGGGAAACAGTGCCATCATTTCCTTGCCAAGACTGCTGTTTGGACATCACCCAATGCTGTTTGGGCATCCCTCACTCCGTACACAGATTTTTATTTCCACATCTTAGATGTCTCTTTCAGGGGGTCTAGGACAGCTTGTGAATATGGCCTGACAAAAAAGAACATCTGCCGCAAGAGATGTCTTCTTTAGTTCTGGGGAATCCTTGGCTCCCTGCCACCACAATTTCCCAGCAAGCAATCAGAGCGAAGTTGGATCAATACCTTCTTCTTTACACCAAAATAAATTTCAGATTGATCAAAGATTCAAACATAAAATTGAGCATATAGAAGTGCTAAAGAAAACTTGGCTAAATATTTTATACTCTCAGTGTGGGAAAAATTTTTCCAAGTCTGATAGAAAATCCAGAGGCCATAAAGCAAGAATTGACTACATAAGTTAAAACATTCTGCAATACCAAAACCCAGCCAACAACCATAAACATCATTCTTTAACCTATCTCACTGGCAAGGATTAAAATATTGACATATCCAGTGTTGGCAAAGACGAGAAAAAAAAAAAACTAGATGTTATACACGAATGTTGTCATGTAAATTGCAGGTACTACTTGTTAAAATTCAAAGTGCTCTTAGCAACTTCACTTCTGGGAAGTCGTCCTACCTGCACAGGATATTTGTTGTGCATTGTTTGTTATTGTGAAAACTGGGACAAACCCAGCTATCCATTCAGAGGAGGATTGTTTAGTAAAGTGTGATATATCCTTACATGTGTTAGATTTATATGTACTGACATTGAAAGCTGTACAAGGCATCCTATATAATAAGAGAGAAATATGCTAATTATCCTTATGCTGTAACATAAAGACCAATCTACAAGTGGTGGAGAGCTACAGGAGGACGGGGCATCAGGCAGAGAGCTACAGGAGGGTGTGGCAGTTAAGCTATGAGCAGCGGAGAGCTACTAGCTGTGGTGGGCAGGTGGCCAGCTGAGGCAAGCAGCAGCAAGCTACTTACTCATGGATTTGTGCGCAGGGCTACTAGTAATTAAATAAAAAAGCAAATTTAAAGATAGCATATCTAGTAAGTTCTCATTTGTATTTAAAAAACAATATACATATTCATCAATTGCATTTACATATATATGCCTATATAGAAAATTTCTAAATGACACACCAGAAATGATTAACAGTGATTGATTTTGGGGAGTAGCCCTAGAGGTCATAATAGAATTGATTTACTTTTCACTAATTAGGGTGTGTGATATCTTTATTAAAGAAAAACAGAAAACTTAAAAAACAAAACAACTTACTCTCCAAACTACATTCCCAGAGGAGAAAAATAACCTACATGGCAAATGTCAAGGGATGCTGAAGTTATTAATAGCCAAATTTCTAAACAGGAAGCATGATTCTTTTTTCTTGGGAAATTCTTAAATGCAACAAATTACCCAAATAAAGGTGCTTCCAGTGAAATTTCTCAGAAAATTTCATAGAACCTTTGAAGGGCATTCATTTCCAGAAATGAGACAAGTGACTTCTCTAAGAAGGTGTCCATAGATATATTGTGGTCATGGGCTGCTCTTAAGGTTGGTCAGTAGTTACTGCATAAACCAATGACCTAAATGTTTCATTTACTATTATTTCTGGGGAATTTTTTTTTTCTGTGCTAATCTCAGTGGCTAGCCTACTGAGGAAGTAGATGTGAAATGGAACAAGGTGAGGATTGTCTAAGGGAAATTAGGACACCTACATCTGCAGTGAAGAGTCCAATCCAGTGGGCATGTCCGAGCCGGCTGAGGATAACAGTGAGGAAGGACTGGTGATACTGATCTGCAATGCTGACCAATTCTGCTCCATGCAGCAGGCAGGCTCTGATTGCTGTGTACCAGGTCATATTTGCACTGATTATTTTGTAAGTCCTGTTTCCATAGTCTAAGGTGTTGGGGATTGGATACATATCAGATGTATTTACACTGTGTCCAGAAGTATCTAGGACAAGAATAACAACAAAAATCATTTGTAGCATCTGGAGGAGGCAGGGGGAGGCAAAGCTTAGCATGGGAAGCTGCCACAACGGTCCCTGCTGCTGTTAACAGCAGCGCTTTTCTTCTCAGAACTGATGACATCAAACCGAGGACACTACCTGAAAGCACAGGTGATGCTGAAGAATTCAAACAGGACATTTAATGCATGAGTTTCTTTAAAAAATATAAACATATAGTAAATGTCATTTCTAGAAGGTTTCCCATTTTGACCACCTTTGCCAAACTGACCACCCTGGTGGAATGCATGTGACGGTTTCCTTCTGCTGGCTTTCCCCGGCTAACATGTGTGCTCTGGCAGAACTTAATACTTACAAGAAAATATTGGCATATGCCATGTCATCATATTTTGCACTGCAGACATAATTTACAAGTGAGCATTCTCAAATATAACACTTTATTAAACTTCTCAGACTGTATGATTATCATGTTTAATATTTACATGTGTACTTACATTCTATAAAGAAGCTTAAAAATTAATTGACACTTAGAAATACAGCCCAGCTGGCATGACTCAGTGGTTGAGCCAGGAGGTCACAGTTCGATTCTTTGAAAGTCAGTGGTTCTGCTTCCTACTTCTGAGATCTTTTTAAGGAAGAGATCATTTTATTTTATTTACTTTTAAAAATATATTTTTTATTGATTTCAGAAAGAAAGGGAGAGGGAGAAGGAGAGGAAGAGAGAAAATGAGAGGAAGAGGGAGAGGGAGAGAGAAACATCAATGATCAGAGAGAATCATCCATCAGCTGCCTCCTGCATGCCTTACACTAGGGATCGAGCCTGCCTTTTTGTTCTGTCTTATATTATGTACTTGATAGGCTACATTTTGAGGACTTAAAATACAAAAACAAGGTAAGGGTTTCTTAAGTGTCTGATCCAAAGTGGCTTGGATTTCCTTCTTATATTGGTTTCACTCCATTTATGCTTGAAAAGGAGCATGGTAAGGTGTGGATAGGTCAGAAGACCTATGACTCAACCCTAGTCTTGACCCTACATGGCTAAGCAACCTTGCGAAATTAGTTAATCTCTCAAAACCTCACATCACCAGTCTGCAAGGTTAGTAAGACCTCCTAAGAGGGTTGGGGGTAGAACTCATTGAGGAGCACTTACACTGGTACCTGGGATGTAATAGGCATTCAATAAATGTTGCTTCTTGCTCCCCTTTCGTCCTGTAGTCACAATCTTCCAAATAAAAATGACAAAATGGGAATTCAACTTTTACCTGAAAATGTTACCTCAATGCATGTTGTAAAACCAAAGTGAAACTAACCAAGTAAATTGTGATGGACCACACGTTTATCATCTGTTGTTGTTTTTTGCTAGAAGTCTGTTTGCTAGCCTATGTATGAAGTGTAAGGTTATTTATATAAAACCAAATATCTATTTTTAAATGTTAACAATTTTTTGTATATGTGATCCAAGCACCCACTTAACTGTGTTCCCCCACTAAGTTGTGCATCTGTATTTTCACCTATATAAATTTCTCCTTATGTAGTTGATTCAATCAGGTTTCAAAACTTAAGTGACTTTGAGCAACATGATTTTGCCACTTATTTCTGTGAAAAAGAAAGATCCAGTGGACACCAAGTTCCAAATTGGGGGTGATGATTTTGCCCCTGACTCTCTTTTATTCAGACATTTTACTCTTTCGTGCAGAGTAAAATTTGAATAATTACTGTAGACTATAAGAATTTGAGTAGTTGAATAATATGATTTGGAAATAAAAATAAAAAAGAGTCACTATTTATTAAATATACAAAACCCCATATATACAGAGAGTCTGTGAAATAGATATTATTCAATTTTATAGAAGTCAAGGTTCAGAGAAGAAAAGAAACTTGACTGACCATTTATTGACAGAGGTAGGATAGGAACCCAGAGCGGTGTGTGCTCCAGTGCCCATGCTCTCACCAACCACTACTCTACACTATCTCCAAAAGCACATCAACATTGTTCATCTCTAAATATCAAAGAGAGAATGTGGTCAGGAGCACATTTCTAGAGGAGATCAACCTCAAGGTCGTGGAATAAAATAATTGTATTTAATTTGAGTGTGTTACTTATCTGTTCTAATCCTCAAGATCCTCATTTGTAAAATGGGGAGACTTTTATCTACCTCTTAGATTCGTCATGAGGATTTTATGACATAATGCATATAAAGCCAAGGCACAGTGCCAGATACATCATAAATATGCAAAGACAAGGCACATTGGAATTATTTCTTTCCCTGCAAGACTCTGCTCTTCTCGTAATACTCTTGCTGTAACTGATCTGGTATTTTTTTCAGTTCCCAACCATGATTGTGATTAAGTGATACCCGTGAACAAGGAAACAGGGCTTCCCTGGAGCTGCTTTTCCAAGGATGGGTTAATACTTAACATCATTAAAGGGTCCCCACAGTAAGAGCTATAATTCCTATTGCAAGTAAGCATATATACTAGGATGCCCAGAGTTCCACACAGCTCCAGACCCAAAGCATGGCCTTCCAGGGTTGCACAGTACAGGAACCTAGCCCTCAGTGAAAGCATGAGCTATGAGCTATGCTGTTGTCCTCACGTACAGGGCATTCACACGGTTCATGGACCATGTTGGCTTCTTGTGATAGTATGGTTTTGTTACTTCACACCACAAGTCATTGGGTGTTGTCACCATCAGATTGAGAAGCATGCTAAATGCCATGTTTCGTTACAAAGACTGTTTTGGGCATTCCAAGACAGGAGTAAATATTGAGTTGGTTTCTTTCCTTGATTCTTTTTTTAAAACATACATTTTTTTTTTTTTTAAATTTCAGAGAGAAAGGGAGAGGGAGAGAGAGATAGAAACATCAATGATGAGCGAGAATCATTGATTGGCTGCCTCCTGCACACCCCCTACTGGGGATCAAGCCCCCAACCCAGGCATGTGTCCTTGACAAGAATCAAACCTGGGACTCTTTAGTCTGCAGGCCAATGCTCTATCCACGAAGCCAAACCAGCTAGGGCTTCTTGATTCTTTCCCAGCATTTAGCAATTCTTTTAATTGCCTGAACAGACATATAATCCCAGAAAAAAGCAATAATACCTTTTCGTATGACCAAATGGATGCCTAAACTTGGCCATCACTCATGTGGTCTTTGCAGTCTGCAGAACCCTACTAGAGGACGTAATCCTGGGTTAGCAGAAATTAAATGACTATATATATGTAAATATAAAAAAAATCGGTGCCTGGCACTGTTAGCTATGTGACTGTCTGTTATACAGCATGTAAAATGGAACAACAAAATGGAAAAGAAGAGTGGACCATACAAATGAAAGGAACAAAGAAGCAAATATTTCTTACCCTGCATTTTCTCACAAACAAACCCATAACCTTCTTTTCCACAGTCTTCAAAATACCATTTTCCAGTGAAATGAAAATTAGTATTACTTGACAGCAAAGCACAGAGAGGAATGTGCTTTTGAACTTCAGTGGTGTTCTGACTTGGAATCTAAAAGAATGGATTTTTCTTAAAGGTAATGTATAACATTATCATAACACTGACATTTTTATTAAGGACATAACTTTAAAAATTCAAACACCATTTTTCTTTTGTTTGCATTTAATAAATCTGTTCATAGGTCACTTCATAACCTAAGACATAAATAATTCTTATGCTGAGTAAAGTAATTACAGTTATAGAACATGTGAAAATTATATAGTTGCATTATCAAAATCAATATATTAATAATTGAATAATAAAAATGTATGCCTATAAAGTATAAGAAGTATAAAAAAAGTTTAGTAAACAAGTCTTGAGTAAAATCTCTTGCCAATTTCTAAAAAGTAAATCTTAAAACTTACATTTATTATATCAAATGGAGACCAGTTAGAATATGTCACAGGCTTTCCACTTAGCCATTTTTCATAATCATCACTTTGTAGCCCTATCCACACATCAGTGGTCTGTCCATAAAGATTCATAGTAATGAAAGCTGAAAAATAAGAATACATTATAAATTTCAATACTATATAAACCATTTGGGTAATCAACCAATTCTGTTTATAGCTACAATTTTATTTAAATGACATCAAGACTTAATTACCAGTCAATTGTCAGAATTTGTTATTTTGTCCTTATTAAGGTAATGCAGACTTTCACTTTTGTTTCAGTTTAAATTGACAGAAATTAGCTGGTGAAGCCCGGGATTTCATCGTATCATTAACAAAACAATTTCCAATGTTCATTCAATGCCTTTCTTAACAAAATGGAATTTATTTGCTATATTTATACAAAAGTATATAATTGCCTGAGTATCCAATAAAAGTTCATAGGTGACTCTAAAGGAATCTAAAAAATTACATCATGCAATTACAATAGACTTTACCTCAGGTTATTTTAGCCCTTTGAAATACAGATCAGATCTATGTCTTTATTCTCTTTACTACTACTGGTAAGACAAAAGGTTCCAGACCAACAGTTTACAAGTAATGCAGTGCACAAACTTTTATAGATGTCACGATCTAAACCTTATAAGTAAAACTGGAAAATTCATGAAAATGTTGATTTGGAAAAGTTAGTATTTTGAGGGAATAGTTTACTAAATACTTAAATAAAAATTTGACTACCTTGCTCCACCTCATCTTCAATGGTGACCAGTGTCCCCCCTTCTTCAACACAGAAATCTTGAGCGGATGTCCAGTTCTTCCAACCACTTGGGCCTTTGGGGATTTTCACCAAAAAGCACTATAAAACATGTCAATTAAAACAAAACAAAACTTCTGTTCATTTCCATATTTTTATAATGATTTAAACATTTCCCAAAGACACAGCAGATCAGCCTTGAAAATTTTTTAAATAATTTTTTTGCTCAGAAATGATTCCAGTACTTAAATTCACTATGAACTTGGAATCAGCATGTGGTCAGCAAGTGCAAGAGGAAGAGCCAGAAACACACACACACACACACACACACACACACACACACACACAAAAGAAAACAAAAAAACAAAACATGAGTCCCATGGGAAGAGAAGCTAGGTCCTGTCCTAGGGAGCCAGGAAGAATGCACAAAAGGGAGGATGGTCAACATTGCTAAATGGGACAGAGAAGGAAAGCTGTGGGATTCGGCAGTGAGAGCTGATTGTTGCTCATGAGAGAATCTGTCTGGGTGTAGCAGGGTTTACTCATTACAGAAAGAGAAATGGAGCAGTAATTACCAGGCAGGACAGGCTGAGTTGAAGATAAGCTTCCACTCCCAAAGCTCAGTAAAATTTAAACATGTTAGTAGGGCCAGATGGGGTCAATCAGCGGTCAGGGGGGAAGGAGAAGAAGAGAAAGAGGGAGAAGGAGAGAGAGGATATAACAACAGATCAGGCTAAATTCCAGAGAAGTCCGGATAGACTTTATGTGAAGGGTACTCCATGGAGATATTCTCTCATCAATGAACATAAACAACTCTAGTTATTAATAGGTCAGATTTCAATATCTTGCTATTGAGAAAAATCTCAACTACAAGCTAATTTTAGGGTAGCATGGAAGCCTTCCCTTGAGAGAGCTTCCTTTCCCATCCTCCTCTGGAATGATATCCTAACCCATTTTCCCTTAATTTCTAAATTTGTCTGCCTCCCATTCCTCCCCCTGTCATATAATAAATTCCTTCAAAAGCAGAGACTAAATGCTGTCCCTCTTTGAACATCACAACAAAGAAGGTCACCAATTAATATATATGGAATGAAATACAACCCAATGGAATTTGAAATTGCTGTCAAATGACATTGTGAGATATTCTAGATTTAGTCCAGTGATTATCAAATGGGGCCATTTTGTCCCTCAGGGGATATTTTGATAATATCTGGAGACATTTTTGGTGTCACATCTCAAAGTAGGGGGACTGTTATAGGCAACTCGTGAGTGGAGATCAGGGAGGCTGCTAAACATTCTATAATGCACAGGTCAGCCCCCCAGAACAAGGAATCCTCTAGCCCGAAATGTCAACGGTGCCTCGGGAATTCTTTTCAGGACTCAGGTCTGATCATGTCACTCTAGTGCAAACCCTTCAGTGATTTCCCACTGTTCTTAGTATAAAAAGCCTGAAGTTGAGTTACCAACTAAGAGAGGAAGTAAGTATATTTTCAATTCTGGTTCCCTTTACCCTGTTTGCTTCACAAAGAAACATAATTGGTTATAAAAGATTTTAATTTTACAACAACTGCCTTTTTATCTATTTCCTTCATTTTCCTACTTTCCTCTAATTACAACTTCCAAAGAGAGGCACATACTAATTATTAGGAAGTCTTATCATTTAATGTGAATTCACCTTCTATTCAGATAGTCACACTAATGAACCATTCATAAATACCAATGAACCTCATAGGTTCAGTTAGCTCAATAAATCTCTCCAGAAAACACACACACACACACACACATACACACACACACACACACACACACACACACACACACACGCTCCCCTCTTCTTTCTTCCTTCCCCCCAGCATTGGCTTCAGTGAAGCTTGACTGTGGCACATTGTCAGCACTTCATTGTTTCTAAAAATATGACATATTTACTAACACGCTTCAAAATGGTGTCATTAACAATTAAAGCAAACCAGCAGGATAAAGTACAGCATCCTTAATTTTAAATTGTTTATTTACTTACTAATATACAAGATGTGGTCAAGTTGAATGGATCTCTGGTTATGACTGTGAATTAAGGATATTCTTCTGTATTCCAAACAAGTTTTGAACATAAAGTTCTCTTTTGTTTCAGTCATTTCCAGCTCAAAATCTGAAAATAGAATTCATGTTCCATCTGCCAAACTCGGTCCTTTCCCAGTGTGTTGACTGACATTGAATGGCCCAGTCAGTGCTGCATTTATACCAGCCTAAACCTGGAGTCCTTTCCATTCTAATTCCTCTTCCATTGTATATTGGCACTGTAGCTTGAGTAATTCTTCTCCAAATTCAGTCCTGATCATATCTTTCTTTAGTTGAAGCCCATCAAGGATTTCCCATTGCTCTTAGAATAAAAACCAGAAACTCTAAGACGATATAACCCTTATCTACTTCTTTTGTCTCCCCTCTCATATTCTGGATCTCTATGCTTCCTTTGATTTCTTAACTATGTCACATTCCCTCTCACCACAGCACCTTAGCACATGCTGTCCCCCCGACTTTTAATGCCCCCTGTCCTTTGGACCACTTCACTCAGTCCTCCTATTATACATTTTATAGAACTTTGTAACAATTACTCATCATATACGTCACAACTTTAAATTATACAGTATTCACCTGATTGATTCATTACTGTTTATTCTCCCTCAAATCTATAAACTCCAAAAGAGAAGGGGTTGTTTATATTTTTCCTAACCATTGACTTACCACTATCCAATAAAGTTAAATGAATGAGTGAATGAATAAAATGCTGTGAACTTGAATACATTAAAAAAAAAAAGAGTAATGTTTTTTAAGACTATGTTGTGCATGAAACAAAATACTAGCTAATACCAAACTAGAATGCTCAAAACAGCTATTAGCACTCAATTCAGGTCCTTGAATAAAAATGTGTGAGTAGAAGCACAAAAGTTAACCTAACATACACACACACACACACACACAATTACACACACTCACACATTCCACACAGAATTTCTTCCTCCTACAGTTCTGCTGTGACATGTCTCTTAGATGAACCACTCTTCCAGGGGTAATCCTGGTCGAGCCTCTTTCAGTCCATCAAACAGAGAGGAAATCATTTGTAAACATCAGAAAAGAAGTTTAACTTCTGGTATTTCTGTTTTAAATCTCTAAAAGGTGGCCCTTAATCAACCAAGTGTTTTGTTTTTTTCCCCTTAGAGATAAACAATAGAAATTAATCCTAGGAAGATGAGAAACAAAAAATAAAGTTTGATGGGACAGAATATATTTACAACTCATTCAGAACTGTGACGTGAGCAATGCTTGTTATTGCTGTCTCCCAATTTTCCTTCTGTAGCTTTTAAAAAATTAATCGGGGACCATGCCCATGGGGCTTTCCATTCCTCTCAGCTATCAATCAACTTTTCTAATAATCTGAGAAAGTTGTTTATTCCTAAGTGTAGAGGACAGATGAGTCAATCTCAGAAATATTTCTCTTAAACAAAATAAAGTGTTAAGGAAAATGTGAGTAAGCCCCTTGTGATGGGATTTTAGCCATTGATATGCAGGTTAAGGCACTGTGGGTGGGGAGGCACAGTTAGAGTCTCTGAACTCAAGCTCTGTAAAAGGTCACCTTCCTGTGAAGCCTGCTGTGATGGTCTCCTTAGTAGCCAAATCCTTTAAATGATTGGAAGACCAAGCTGTGACTGTTGCATTGCTGGGCAAGTGCTGGCTACACATTAGAATAACAAAGGAAGATTTTTAAAAATACCGATGCCGGGGTCCCATGCAGATCAATTAAATCAGACTCTTTAGAGTGTCACCTGCACCTGGATATTTTGTAAAAGCTCACCTGCTGAGCCTAAATATATAATCAGGGGGGTGAATCCATATCTAGCTGTTAGTTATCAATAAAGGCTTTTGTTTGTTTTTTAAAATGGATTCTGAGCTAAGTGCAAGAGTTTTAATCCTGCTCCACATACTGCTCTGGAAAGCCCTTCTATTCTCATGTCTGGGTCTATGCTTTGCTCATGCCCCTTTCTATTCATTTCTAAGAAAGAACTCGCTTGCACTTTGCTCTGGGTCTACTCCACTGTCATATTACCAGGCCCATGTATGTGTCTACATACTCCCTATTCCTACACAGGAGGAAACATGGAATAGAGCTAAGCTGTGTGGATAAAAATGCTTATTTAGGTTATTGAATAAAAATATGTAAAGATAATAGCCAAGGACTGAACCAAAATGAACCATTGCGATTTATTTCTTCAATGCCAAGAATTTGAATTACCATTAACATCCTCTCTTAAACATGGGAGGAATTATGAGTTAGTAACAAAAACAGTTGTGTTCATGTTTTGGGGTTGATCACTGACTGTATAAAAAAAATGTGATATTTAGACAAGATAAGCATTTCTTTGTACCTGTTCTCTAAGACCGCTGCCAGGATGCACTTGTTATAGTAGTAGTAAAAAAACCCCAAAACAAAAAAACCCTAGCAGCTATAAGAATTAACTATAAGTGCATCAAAACCTAAGAATAAGAGTTTTGGTTTTTTTTAGAAGAAAAAATATGACATCAAATGCAAAAAAGAAAAATTAGATAAATTAGGCTTTAAAAACTATGCACTGAAAAATGGAGAAGATTGCTCTAACCTGTTTGGCTCAGTGGATAGTGTTGGCCTGCTGACTGAAGGGTCCCAGGTTTGATTTCGGTCAAGGTCACATCCCCACTGGGGGGTGTGCAGGAGGCAGCTGATAAATGTTTCTCTCTCATTGATGTTTCTAACTCTCTATTCCTCTCTCTTCCTCTCTGTAAAAAAACCAATAAAATATATTTTAAAAATAAAAATAAATAAAAATGGTGAAGATAGTAAATTCTACATGACATGAATTTTACTCCAATTTAAAAATATCAGTGGGTGCTCAATTGATATATTTAATAACCAAATGACCCCATTTCACAAATTAACAATGAGAGGAAGATCACAAAGGGGAGAATGCCCTGCCAATGCAACTGAATATACAGATTAACAATTGGCTGTTAATTTATAATTTGGGATGCATTTTAATGACTCTCACCTAAGGCCTATAAAATTATCTATATTAAAAAGTATGCTAATTAAACTGGTCATCTTCTGGATGGCCTATAGACATCCTTCCAGACAAATCCACAGTGACTGCAAGGGCTGAGGGCCAGCAGCAGTGGCAGCTACGAGGGCCAGCGTGGAAGAAGCAGTGGCTGTGAGGGTCGGGGTGGTGGTATGAAAGGCAGAAGGCAATCGTGGCAGCAGGGGAGAAGGAAGGCTCTCGTAGCAGCTGCTGGAGGAGAGAACCCCTCCCCTCCAGTGCACGAATTTTCGTGCACAGGGCCTCTAGTTTTATTATAAAATGTAAGGAGTGGAGAGGAAGTCTGAGCCTTAATTGAGGTCATATCAGAAATAATAAATCTGGTTTATAATATCCCCACTAGCAATTAAATTTTTTTTTTCCAATTCTGCATGGAAACACCTGCTTTATGAGGCTCAAGATCACATTGTCTGAGCTATGTTATTAGTGGGTCAATTCATTAGGCAAGCAGAGCTCTATGCAGGGACATGTCCAGGCAGGGAAGACACAAAAAGGACATCCTGGGGCCCCTGAAGAAAGTTGACAACTTATTGGGTGCAGGATCTAGATCTACACATGCACACAGGTGCATGTACACACACACACACACACACACACACACACACACACACACACTTGCAGGGGTCACACTGGCATACAGCATAATAAATGACGGAATATACAAACTCTGAACAAACAAACAAAGGGTGGCATCAAGGCTGTTTCTCACCAACACTTCTTATCTCTAGAGGGTTATCCCTAAATGGAAAATTTCTCAAATCTCTTGAAAGTTGTAACAAAAATATTCCAGGTCCAATTTTCAAAGTCACACCCACTTTTTGATTACTTTCAAGAATTGATATCTACAAAAGAGCAACAAAGGCAACTTTTTGAAAATAAGTTTACCTTATAGTTAAAATATAGCCATCCTTTGGGACACATTCCGTGCTGCTTTGGTGTATCTTTCTCTTTCTCTACGGGCCAAAACCTTTTTCGCTTACAGATGCTGGGCATAGGAACCGAACACTCTTCACTAGCCCAGAGTCCTGGAGGGGGAAATGGGTTAGAAATGACTAGAAGCAATGGTAACATTCTTTAATTGATGAGTATTTTTATGACTGCCTCACTTTATCAAAGGTTGTTTTTTAAATCTAGAAACTGAACTAAATTTAACTATGAATCATAGAGTTCTCTGGTGACCAAAACTAATTGGTCAAGGGGCAAATCAGTAATTCTAATTCAATAATGCAAATGCAAAAATATCTAAACAAATACTGCGGTTGAAATCATAGAACTGATTAAAGTTCTAAGAGTATTTGACTTCATTGGGAAAATAATATTTCGTAGAGTAATGTCTTTGTTTTAAATATTCAACTTCAAATGTAAAAAGAAATGTTCTAAAATAATAGATGACCATTTCTACTTGATAATTTGTTTAAAAAAATAATAATGTAGAAAAATTAACTCACAAACTTCTCAGAAAAGAGCACTCCTTAACACTGACCTTGAAACAAAATAGGCTCACATCTAAACATGCTCACAGGAGACATATCCCCAAAGACCTTAGCCTCCTGGAAGAGCTTTTTTTATTTTATTTTTAATTTTTGAATTTAGAAGAGCTATATTTTCAGAGAAGATTATAGAATGTATTTCATTAGCATTCAAGCTATAATTTCAGAATCCAGAGCAAAGATGCATGGGAATTGCAAGGACAGATTCAGTTTTCTAAGTGAGAGATATGAGCCAAAAATATGTTGGCATTTTGAAGGAGGGGCTGGAATGCTATTTTAAATGCAGATTAGCTGCTATACCTCCAGAATCACAAAGCAGCCTTTCTTGTAGGCTGTTGTGACACCTGCTGGCAAAAGTGAGCTGATTTAACCACATGATTTTGCTTTTCCTGACTTTCTCTGTAGATGCCCTAGCATCAAGGATTGCTTTCCATATTCATCCTACTCCCGACTTTGGGTACAGGTTTGCTATGGATCTGTTAGAGTCGGGAACATCATTACTTTTTATTGGATAAAAAGAGTGGGGTGGATATAAGTGGGTAATCTATCCAAATAACACTGTACTGATGAGTAGAAATTAAAAAAAAAAAGTCTTCAACATAGATGTGCTTCTAAATCCCACTTGCAGACAATTGGTGTTCTAAAGCAAGCAATAATTAATGCTAGGTATTTTTTCCTATTTATTTATTTTAATTAATTAATTAATTTATTGTTGATAGTATTACAGATATCTCCCATTTCCACTATCCTTTCCTCCCCTCCTCCCTCCGCCCAGGTCTTCATTACCCTATTGCCTGTGTCCATGGGCTATGCATATAAATATATACCGGTATGTTGTTTGGTTTACCTCTTCTCATTTCCCCACAGCAAAGTATGTCAGTCTGTTCCATGCCTCCCTGCTTCCGATTTTATTTTGTTAGTTCATTTACCAAGTGTTTTTTTTTTTTTGTGTGTGTGTGTGTGTGTGTGTGTGTGTTTTAAAGGAATACTGAATTCAATGAAATTTTTTCTTAAATGGGAAATTAGAAGTAAATTTTTCAGATATTAAAGATCTGGCCAATTATAAATTGGATACTAAAAAAAAAGTTAAAAAATGGGCTCATACTGAAATTTTATAGAGAGCAGTATTTGGCACACATATTTTTGACCCACTTTCAAAGGACTCATTTTTTACTCTTTTTTATTTAGTTCATGAGGAATGCCTTATCTGGATGTAACTTGCTTTCAAGAACACGAGTTCATGGAATAAACTGTGGGAATGGCCATTCTTAAGCCTTAAGATGAATGGAATTGAACACATTAAATTCAAAAGCAAAACAACCAAACCAAACTTCCTCACCAAGCTTATGCAATGAAAAAGAGATGTCATGCCTCCTGAAAATTATCAGTCTGTGTTATAAACCTAGGAATGGGTGAATAAAATAACCTGTTATGGATGAAATGAAGCCACATCTCTGACTGTGGTTATTCTTAGGCCCTTCTCTTTCTTTGTCCCAGTTCTGATATATTACTGGTGCTCCATCTCTCCAGCTGTAGGAAAATTAAAAATTTTAAGGTCTTCTCTCATTCTGCATTTTCAATCTTCAACACCATTTTTGGAGTACGGGGGTATGGATTGAAGGCCATATATATATATATATATATATATATATATATATATATCCTCACCTAGGATATATTTTTATTAATTTGAGAGAGAAAGAGAGAGAAAGAGAAGAAGGGTGAAAGAGAGAGAGAGAGAGAAACATTGATGTGAGAGAGAAACACTGATCCATTGCCTCTCATATGCATCTGGACTGGGGATTGAACCCACAATCTAGATATGTGTCTTGACTGGAAATAAAACTTGCATAGTGGATGGGAGAACAACCAATGGAACCACCTGATCAGGGCTGAAGGCATAACATTTTATTAAATTGGGTTAATAAATGTGTTGGGTTAGGGAAGTGAAAATTTATAAGCTAAAGATAACGTTTGAGGCTACTCAATAAATTGATCACTAAGATCTAACCCAATCATTCTGTAAATAAAATCTGCCAAACAAGATTAAGTGCTAATTAATCTAGGTCCATACCGAAGTTCACCATTGGCTCTTTCTTCTTGAAGTCCAATCCACCAATTTACACCATACTTTGACAGCTATTTTTAAAAAAAAGGAAAATGTCAGCATTTATTCTACTTGTTTTCCCTTTTCATTAGTAAGATTAATGGGGTTGCTGGTAATAGCTTTCTATTCTCCAGTATTTACCCAATTATCTAAAGAAGAATACACTGAGGCCTATCATCTTGAGAAAACCTGTCCCTTCATTATTCTAAGATATTCCTCCTCATTTTGAAGGAAAATGTAATCAAATATTGAATATTTATACAACATGCAATATCTTAATGACAACTTTTCCTATCATATGCGTTTAAAAGTAAATTTTCTCAGAACAGGGATTTAAAAAGTAATATGGTAAAGTAAAATACAATGTGAATTCATTTTTCTTACTAAGAATTCAGTGGTTTATCTTCTCAGTGATTTATGAAATTTTCATTTATGAGCTTAAAGAGGCTCATTGTATATGTCACTGTACTTGAAAAAAAATTCAAGGCACAAAGACATCAATAGTGGAAAGATTTTGAAATTGAGGGATTAGTCTGGGGAGCTTTCAAACTGAGTAGTAGCACCCTCCCCTCTTCAATCACATAGTGAGATACAATATAGGACAAAAGAATACCACAGAGTTTCCAGTGTTTGACAACTGAAGTATCCTTTATATTTTTTTAAATTAATCTTACACTATTATTTATCACACAGATCTAAGTACAATAAAATACAAACACACGCACACATGTGCACGTGCACACACGAACACGTTAGAACAGGCGTAACACTAGACTTATGCCCCAGGAAATTGAAATTCCCTCTCAATTATAAAAGAAAAAGAGGCAGTAAAGATTGCCCTGAGACTTCTAAATCAATATACATTATTGTTTTGTGTGCTGTGTGCGTAAAATGTAAGTCAATTTTATATGCTAAAAACTTTATTTTGAAAGCATATATTTAAATTTGCACTTCCATTTCTTCTGTAAAGACTTGAGAATACATGTCAAGATATATATATATATATATATATACACACATACATACATATATATATATATTCCATGTGAATTTCAGATCATTATAAAACAGTACCTCATATCTCTCTAACATTCTCATTTATAAACAGGTATTTTTACTCCTTAAACAGTGTGGCTGTCTGCCCTATCAGTAATTTGAGAACAAGCAAGATAGAGCGACAATAATTTTGTATCCCCGAAGTGTTGTTTCATGGACGTGTGCATCCATGCTGAATTTAGAGTCCCATTGTCAGGCTCCGGAATGGGTCCATTGAGACTGGCTGTGAGCTCGGGGGGAGAACCATGACACTTTCATTCACTCTAAAAAGGTCTCATGTGCAACAACAGTGGAAATCTCGGCCTGATTGCTTACTGCCTCAATTAAGGACCTTTAAAGAGAAATTGCAACTACTGCATCGTCAGTGGTATGTTTATTACCACCTCAGTCATAGCATGGTGATCCTCCACATGGCCCATCATAACCTGTTGTGATATGGAAGAGAACTTCACAGGACAAGCTAAAAAACCCAACCCCAAAAATGGTTGTTTTAAATTTTAGCATATGTATACTACCACAACAGTAGAAGACATTAATATTCTTTGTATAAAAGAATATAAAAATGTGATAGGCTGATTTTCAATTCGCTTAGCTCCTCAAAAGAGTAAGTGTAGTCTTTTTCTATCTTAAGTTGAAATGGAAAACCACATCTTACCATTTTCTGTATATTGTGACTTTTCAAACTTAAAAATACTATGCTCTTGTAAGTAAAAATAGTGTACTGTTGTAATTTAAAAAAATGTTTTTATTTTATTATCATTTTTAATCCCAATACGAGGATATGTTTATTATTTTAGAGAGAGGAAAGGAGAAAGAGAGAAACATTGATGTGAGAGAGAAACATTCTTCCTTACGCACTCTGACTGGGGATCAGTCCTGCAAACTGGGTATGTGCCCCGCCTGGGAATTGAACCTGCAGCCTTTTGGCATATGGGATGACACTCCCAACCAACTGAACCACTCAGCTGGGGTTGTACTGTTGTAACTTTAAAACAGCCACACATTTCCCAGATAATCCTTGTCCCACATCTGTGTTTTATTTTCCTCCATGCCATTTATCCATTCATCTTTTTATAGAACTCTGTGTGATTCTATTAACTTGTATTGATTATAGCCTTTTTCCCCAAACTAGACCATAATCTCCAAAAAGGCAGGAGTTTTGTTCTATTTTAATCACTGATAGAACCTCAGTCCCTAGTAGAATAGACTCTGAATATGTATTGAATGAACCTCATAAAAGCAATAACACTCTACTCATTCACTATTGTTGCTAGTAATGAATAAAAGGGGTGAAATGACTGACCAACATTGTAAACTTGTGTTTTCATTATTTTCTCTTTTTCTCTGTAACAGAGAAAAACCAATTCTCAAAAATCTATGGCTTTTAATGAAACTTAAATAAGTGTCTGAAGTCAAATTTAAAAAATTCCCCAAGGACAGAAGAAGGAGCTAGCTCCAAATTTCTTATGGTTAAATGTATTCAAGTACCACTCTTATTTTGCTGAGGATGAATTCTTGCTCATGTGCAGAATGAATTGTGAGGATAGCACCACCCAGCCAGCCACAGATAAACTCAAACGTGGACCATTCGGAGGGATAGGCATGGAAAAGGTACTCTGCGTCCTGATAAAAGAGCCAGGGTTCATCTGAAAGAAAAAGAAACAACACAAATAATGCAGAAAGTAATGACCAGTATAGTGCCGCCTTAAATAAGATAGGCTGTAATGAACTCCAAATTCGTAACTTGGTTACTCAGCATTGAAAAAATTGTGTGTGTTTAAATAAATATATTTAAACATATATAAATAAATATGTAGCTTGCTCACTTTCCTTGTTCTGTCTCATATAAGAAACCCTCATTTGTATTCAAAGAACTGGGATAGATGCATATTTCAAAATCACGGGTACTAAAAATGGAGTAAGCTATGATATTGGCCATTAATCATATTTAATAACATTTATCAATTTGATTATTTTCTGATTATTTGTTAATTTGAACAAATTAGTTCTAGATTGATCTAAGAAAAGAGGCTCAACTGCTGAACTGTAATAATACAACAATGGTATATAATAGCACATAATTTGAAGTTCAAGAACTGCCAGCATAGTTCTTACCGTACTGGTACCAGGGAGGAATCTTGGGTTTCACATCTGTAAAGTGAAAGCAAATCACCCTGAGTAACCACTCTTCACAGATGTGCTACGTCTGACTTATTTTAGCTCTAAACACAATATTTTGTACTTTGTCTTTTGAAAGACCATTTAAAAACCAAGTACGTTGTGCTATTTGAAATATGGTTAGTTCTATACTTGAGGAGGAGGCTCTGCTTACAGATGGGAGGATGGGAACACTTGCTGAGGGCCTACTGTGTGTCACACACTATTCTAGGTGCTTTCACTCACTCATTTGACAAGTAATTTTGTTTGATTGTAATGTTACCATAACATTCTTCCAGATTGTACTGGCAAAACACAATACGATATAGTCAGTTATCCTCACTTCCTATTAACTAACTTAGCATACTGCACTAGTGTCATTTAAAAAAAAAATTCCCTTTGATTCATTCTTTGCTAAAATAGTGCAGTTTGGTTCATCATGAAGGCTACTGGTTGTGATTCAAGATACTTGCGTTTAAGATCCCTGTAACTCTTCACTTGGGAAAATGCTATAGGTTTTAAAAAAAACAAACAAACATATAGTCAAGATCTTATTAATATTTTTACCTCTTGGAATTTTGCATATCCATTCACGCTTGGAACCACAGTGCAAGGGCAGCAATGTTTTATTTGCTTTATAAACAGCACAGTTTCTTGAATTATCTCCAAAATAAGTATTGTCTAAAAATGAAGAGACAACCTGCAGCAAATGAAGTTCATTATTCCTTAATGACGATTCCCCCACAAAAAAAGTTTCAAAAGGTCATAAGGGCACCCTGGTAAAGAAACTGCGAAAGACTTCTGGGAGAAGCTCTAGAAAGATCTGGATATGATTCCAGATAAAGGTTGTCCCCATTTGGGAAAAACCAGTGAATCAAATTTTAGAAATTTTTCCTAAGGATGATCTTTTCTTAAAAAGAGGCATGCTATTCTTTTCTCCAGATGAGCAAAGCAGATGCGTGCTTCTTTCCAAACTTGCACTATTTCCTCACTAGCAGGATTAGGCTAGCTACTGTGGGGTCCGCGGCTCAGGTACTTGTCGAATCTGAGTCTCACCTTTGGGGTGGATTGTTTTGTACAGACACTAGGCTTTTAGTTTCTAATCACTAAATTCTAAGTCACCACTAGCTTGAATCAGGAAACTATCCAACACTTTCTATGAATTATCACACAACAGGGGTATTCAATAAAGACTCAACACTCTCAATAATTTAATGACTATCTGGTAGGAGTGCATGGACCACAAGTAAAATTAGGATGAAATTTTTTTGGGGAAAAAAGGGTGGTTTGAAATCATTTGAACTCTTCTTCAAACATGGACACAGTCATGGAATTTAACTTCAATCTACGTGAACTCCGACTCAGAGAACAGCATGAGGTTGAGTATTCATTTTATCTAGTGGGGAGTGAGGAGGAATTCAGAGCCCTGCTTCATGGCTTTGTCTCCTTTATCCTGAACCAAATTGTCCATTCCTCTCTCACTACTGATGAGTTTGTTTTAGTGAAATGAAATGGAGTGTTTTCAGCCTCTATGGAGCACACATCATTAAAAAAAATTTTTTTTTAATTGTTGACAGTATTACAGATGTCTCTCATTTTCTCCCTTTTAGCCCCCTTTCACACAATCCTCACCCCACCCCAGGCCTTCCTCATACTACTGTCTGAGTCCATGGGCTATGCATATATGTTCTTTTTACATCTCTTCTGTTCCCCAGTACTCCTGCCCCTGAGATCTGTTGTTCTGTTCTATGTTTTTAAATGCTATAATGACATTAATCACCCAACACTAGGTTGGGGTCAGATCAATCCTTTATGCCCCTTCTGCTTTCTGGACCTCTGTTTCTTCATCAGCATAACAGATGGGAGGGGCTGGATAATCTTTAAGATCTCTTCCCACTCTCTGGTCCTGATGCCCTTTTTAACGAGGCAGCACATGGGTGGAAACTTTACTTTTTCAACTAGCATGCCCTATTTTTTTCTTCTCACTGTAAGCATATAGCTTTTCCACAGATCTGTTCCTTGACACAAATTTGAATGCTCTCTCTGTTGTGGGTGTAGAGTTCCTATTTCTCTATCGATCTTTACTATTTCAAAGTTTAGCTATTGATATTTTGCCAACTAGGAAACATACTAGTAATATTGTGGCTTTGGAGGCAGGCAAACCGTGTACCAGTTCTGGCTCTCCTATGTATTATTTTAGGCAAACTATTTAATCATTTCAGTACTCACTGCATTGAGTTGTAAGGATGGAATGAGACCATGCAGGCAGGACTGCACTCAGCTCAGAACTTAGAAGGGAGTTAGAGCTCAATAAACAGGAGCTGCAGCAAATGCTTGCTGCCGGCCAGCCTCCCCATTTCACAGGCCCAGCAAACAACTTGATTCTGCATGTGCCCTCGGATGGAACCCGTTTCAATCTGGGATACCGCTTCTGTTTTTTTCTCTATCCCCTTGAGAAAAAAATTCCTCATTGAACCTGAAAATATACGTAGGGGTAAGTTCCCCCTTTCTATCACATAGGTTTTTACAAGTCTGAGGCTGACGAAAAGCAAATCTTTCTTTCTCTTTCCTAATGACTTGCTCTGGCTGAGAAGGAGGTGGTATTTTTAAGACTGGCATTTCTGATCTTTTAGAGGGAGATGAAATGAAACTGGTTCTTTTCCTTGTGGCATGGATGAGGGTTCCATGTTCACATACTAAGGAGCTGGGCAGGGGAGGGAGGCGGGTAAAGAAAGCCTGGTAGTGTTTTAAAGAACAATGGCTTCTTTGCTGGAGACTCTTCTTCACACGATAGATGGTGTGAGGACCTTTCTGGAGTTTTTGGTCCTTTTCAGGATAAGCTCCTACAAAACTATCTGGCCTCCGAGCTAGCTGGCTGGCCAAGGTTTCCCAGGCATTCCTGAAATAACTCTTCTGGCACAAAGGTCTGATGTAGTTTCTGGTTTGGGCCTGAGTCATGGGGAACAGGCTCATTATTTCCAGGATCATTTGCTTGCTCTATCAAGTGGTTCCAGGGCCACCTGCTTTGAATTCATTTCCTTTTCTCTGGGTCGGAAAGACTTACAGGGGTTCCATCGGACCACTCCCAAGAGCCAGCGTTCAAGGGATTTCTTTTATTGAATCCGATCCAGAACTGCCTTTCCTCTGTCCTGTGAAGAGAAGAAATAGACACTTGGCCTTCCCCTTTGAATTCAGCACAGTATGAAAAACGCTCAAGTCTGTACTGATGTGGGCAGGAAGCAGCTGATGCCATGGGCAGGGTTGGCCAAGTCAAATAAACATGTACAGAACATCTCCCAGTGCAAAACCTGAGGTCTGAAACGAGCTGAGAGAAGATTCAGCCTCTGCTTCCCGTTTCTCTTGGTTTGTGCTGTGCTCATCAGTGATGTGCAGTTGGGGGAGAAGCCAGCGCCTGTTGAGAACATGGCTTTCTCATGTTCTTTAGGAATGGCAACACCCATCAACCAGGCCCAGAACACATGAAAGCCAAGTTGGTGAGAGATTTTGGACTTCACTATACTGTGCTATTTATATACATGGAGATGCTTTGATTTGTGGCTCTTTTGTCATACGCTCATGCATTCTCTGCAGGTTCATCGCCAGCACTCCTGTTTAATAAAAGGCACACGGCATGTTTGGGGTTTTTGTTCAGATCCCAACAGAAATGTTTCCACAGCGAATCAGCCTGAGGCATGGTGGGTTAGCTTCAGCAGTCACCACCAGGTTAGATGTGGTGAGAAATCCCACAGAGAACCATCTTCCTTCCTATAAGGCGGAAGACTAACATGTCACGCCCCAGAGGCCTCAAGCAAGCAAGTGGCTCTCTTCTCGGCTGACTTCCATGTATAAGACTCTCCTCGATTTCAGTCTAACAATTTTAGAAAAAAAAATAGACTCTTAAAAATGAAAAAACATAATAATCTCTAAGTCCTAGGCTGAAAGTCCACACTACCCTCCCTCTATGGAGAACACTTTATTCCTTTCCTCACTGAACTCAGCATTCTACAATATTTCTGCTATATACTGGCTCCTAGAACTGGTATTTATTTTCTCTCCATCAATTTCTAAACTAGTATAATTTCTTTTTTTTTTTAAAGATACATTTTATTGATTTTTTACAGAGAGGAAGAGAGAGCTATAGAGAGTTAGAAACATTGATGAGAGAGAATCATTGATCAGCTGCCTCTTGCACACCCCCTACTGGGGATGTGCCCACAACCAAGGTACATGCCCTTGACTAGAATCGAACCTGGGACCTTTCAGTCCGCAGGCTGACGCTCTATCCACTGAGCTAAACCGGTTTTGGCTAAACTGGTATAATTTCTAATAATGTCATATAATAATATAAAAATAAAATACTAACAGAAACGCAGTGCCCCAGGAAGGAGAAAAATGCTAGTTTATGCTAACTATGAAAACTGGTTTATTTGCTGTAATTTGGCTTCAGACTTGGAAGTCAGGGCAAAAGTAAAACATATATTACATAGCTTTTGTGATTAGATGCTGAAAATCAATAACCTGATAGGTGCGTGGCACTAAATTCATCTAGAAATTCCAAGCGTGAGAACTTATGTAAATAGAAATGATATTTGATCTTACAGTTAGCATGTGGTTGTTTCATACAGCAAAGCTCACTGTGTATGCATATGTACATGGATTTGCAATTGGCTAAAGTCATGAAGCAAAGTTGCAATGTAGAACAACGAATACCATCACATATCCTTTGGATCTGTGGCCCCCACCCCTGGCTAACAATTCAGTTCACTAGGCAGTTTCTTGAACTTTTCTTCAACCTCAGAGAATCTGATTCAGCAGCTCTGGCGTGAGACCAGAGGGCTCTGTGTTAAAAGGTGTCCCAGAGAGTGTGATAATCAGCAGGTTTGGGAATCCTGGTCTCAGGTCAGCGTTTCCTGCAGAGGCTAGGAATTCTATGGGAAGTTGATAAGTGTTTTAAAAAACACATATAACAGTTTTGTGGTCAGAGGAAGTGCTTCCGTTTAGAAGCTTTTACAATATTAATGTATGTGGCAAATTTCCAAGATTGTACTTTGCTTTGCAAGCATATTTAACCACAGATTGGCCTCCTCCCCTCCCCATAGTACTCTATAGCACACACCCTGAGGAGAGTGTCAGACTCCTACTTTTAAGGCCATTTTTAGATTTTGGAGATGAATAATTTGTTAGATATTACATCTTAACCTTCCTATGGCAGTGATTTTCAATACTTTTCATCTCCTGGCATACATAAACTAGTTACTAAAATTCTGTGGCACACCAAAAAAATATTTTTGCTGATCTAACAAAAAATAAATACAATTTTTGCTCCTTCTCACTGAATGGCTATTGTGTTGGCTGTTGTCATTTTTAAATGTGACAATCTAAGGGAAAAGAGGTCAGTGCCACTGACTAGTCAGGTATTGCATATTTTAAAAATTCTTGTGGCACACTAGTGTGCCGTGGCTGAAAACCACTGTCTTATGGGATTGCCCCAAAGGAAACTTAGGGGAAGGCCAGGTGTTCCTCAACAAACAGTTCTGGAGTTTCCCTGTGACTCAGGCAAGTGTTTCATAGACACTCCAGATTTCCAGAGCTTGGAGCAGAGTAGCTGGTGTTAACTTGGTCTCATTAAATAAATGGATGGAGCCATGGAGGCCTGACCCCCGCTTAGTACACAACATCTTTGGGGGTAGGTTTTTGTCTGACATGCCTATTAGATTCTCAAGTCTGCTGTGCATAAAACAGTGACCTTTTTATAGAAGACATGCCCAACATGTGTTCTGAATTGACAAGAACATTCTAGATAAAGAGGCCAAGAGCTGGGAAGACTCACTAAAAGAGGACATGGTGGCTGCCTTTAAATATTTGGAAGTAGGTTAGACTTGATCTGTGTTGCTCTGGCTTACTAGAAGGTTGAATGTTGAAACCAGCCTTTTAGCGAGGGATAGATGGTGATGGAAGGAGACTCGGCTTGGGGTGGTGAAGGCACAGTACCATAGTAGTATACAGCTGATGTATTGTAGAATTGTATACCTGAAATCTGTATAATTTTATTAACCGATGTCATCCCAAATAAATTCAATTTAATAAAAGAAAAGAAGGAAACCAGCCTTTAACAGTAGAACAGGCTTTCCTTCTCCCAAGTAGGAGCACTCTGAAACTGACAGGCATCATGCAGACAGTGCATGGCCCCAGGGCTGGAGGAGAAGGAATTCCTGCCTGAGGGTGGAAGGTAGCTCAAGATCACGTATGCTTTCTTCCCATTTAAAAGTAATCAACTTTCTAATTTTATGGAATTCAAAGATTCTATAAATTTGCAAGATGGATGAAGATAAGAGAACATGTAAAATAAGGGTTGGATTAGAATTTTTTTCTTTTAATTAGTGGGAGTTTAATTTTTTTTCCAAACAAAATCTTACATGGACTTTGATTATATACAAAATAACTAGAAGTGGAGCTGGTTGGAGCTGCTAGTGAGTCAGTGAGCAAAGAACCAGGAGCTCTGCCTACTAGGCCCCTTCCTGCCCCTCAGTCAGCACTTTGAAAATCACTGCGCTAGATAATTTCTGAGTTCGGCAGAAAAGTTCCAAAATTCTGATTTTAGGCACAGAAGAGATTTCAAATATCAAAACAATGTCACTTTATGTTCTTTGTTTTATGGAATGAGAACTTGGTGCAATATATTTATAAAATTATATGTTTATGTTTTTCTTTCATATCCTGAAGCTAATGGGTTTAAGGCTTAAAACAAATATTTGAGATCTTAAACAAATATTAGGGATACTCATTCCGAAGTACTGGGGGACAGAACATTTGACTGTAATTTTCGAAAATTAACAAGTATTTACCGATTAAATTTTGAATGTAAAAGCTCATTCACAAAATTCTCTTCCTCGATATGGGCAAAGCTTGCAAGATGAGCTCCAAATTCTTCACAAAATGCTTCAGCTTCTCTCCATGTTCTTTTCATCAATACCTTTTCACTATGAAATACCTGTATAGTAAAAAAAAAATAGAGTTGACACTGTAAAGCTATTTGACTCTAGACACGAAAATAATAGTAATTTAATTGTTGTCATTATTCTTTGTTAAAGCTTGAGCCAGTAGGAAGAAATAGCATTTATTGAATTAGAATTCAAATGCCTATTGTGAAACTATTATCTCATTTTATTCTCACAACAACTTTATGAGTATTTAATAAACTGTTTTTATCAATGAGCTGCTTGAAGATTCTTTTTTTTTTCTCCTAAATTTCCTGTGACTTGTCCCTTAATAAGTGTTTGTTCAGCGATGAGAAGAGTCAGACTAAGACAGATTACAAACTTCAGGTGACACAGCTACAAACAGGCAGAGTGAGGATTAGACCCAATCCTTCCTGCTTCCAGAGCCCACGGATTTCTGTCCCTCCAGATTGCCTTCTGACAAATTAGAATTGGCTGAATGATCATGCATCTGGCAAGAAATGAAAAATGAGACCTGGGACCTAGAGCAGGTCTAATTCTAAGGTCTTTGGGTCTGAGTTGTGCCTAAATTCTCTGCTGTTTCTCAACTGCCCTATTTTTTTTTTTAAGCAATCCTCACAGTAACAAGAAGTAGTCAGTCACATGGAGAGTCTGCTTTTGATTTTATTTAAGATCAACGATGAGGGACCTAAGACCAGAGCTCTGAATCCAGTGCCTCTGCAACCTCCTCATTTTTAACTGCCCAGCACTAAGCCTGAGCCTCTGGTGCCAGCCTTCACGAGGCTCTGATCTGCCGAGAGCAGAAGGAATCCCAGTCCTGTGGACCATAGCACAGCCTTTCCATTCTCTAAATTATATGTCAAAACTTACCTCCTTTGGGAACCTTTTCTCAACTCACTTTAAATTATTAAATCCTACCATCATACTCATCAAACACACCTGCCATTTACTGACGTGTTAGGGTAATGAATAGTAGAAAAAGGAGTTCCGAGATCAGGAATTTATTCCAACTCTGTCAATAAATAGTTGTGATCTTGGATAAATCACTTCATCCTGCTAGTGCCAACTTACTCCTTTCTAAGGTTCAACTTATTGCTCTGTGAGGTCACGTCTAGGCCTATTGCATGAAAGGAATGTAGAATTATACACACAGATATTTACATTGAGTGCATTCACAGGTATTTCAGGCCATCTATAGATATGCATTATCTCTAGAGAGAGAGGCCATCTTCATTCTGCTTTGCATATGCCCACATACTAGAAAAGAACTTTCTTCCATGATTTTGGAAATCTCTATTTATAAAATGAACCAAAGACAAAACTGTCAAATAAAAACATCATATCTCAAAAAATACATATTTCTGACAAGAAGATTGTAGGTGCTGATTTAAATCTAAGATCTAAAGCTGCTTTACAAAAAGACATTTCTTCAACATTTATATACATACACACACATACATATCAACTGTGTGTATTAATGTGTTTTATCTTTAGGTGTCTGGCAAGCTGCAAAAGCTCTCCTTAGCAACAGAATGGTAGTAGAGTATTCGGTAATACGGACTTTATTTGTTTGTTTACACATGATACGGAATTACATCATTTTCATACCCAGAGCAATAGTAACTGGGAACCCAATATCAATCCTTATGAGGAGGATGTCATTGTCACCAGGGATATGTCATTCTTTTGTCTTAAAAATTATTTTGGACTAGAACTGAAATGATAGAAACAGTTGACAAATATTAATCAAGCACCTCTGCAGGCCAGACACTGTTCTGGAATAAAGAATTTGGAATACACGGACAAAATTGAAATAATGTTGGTCCAGCTGAGAATGTCCATGTGACCTTGACCCTCACCTTGAAGCAGCTGGCCAGGCCCGGCTCGGACTCCCAGCTTAAATAGCAGGGGTGAAAGGGCCATCTCTCCTCATGCTCAGTCTTCTCCCGGCTTTCCACTGGCTGCTTGCACAGGGACATTGCTTTAAAGTGCGCGCAGTCCTTCACTTCCCAGCGGCCAGGTGGACTCCGTCCCCGCATGACAACACAGCCACCGCTGTAGCCTAGAAGCAGAAGGCAACGCTTTCAACACCCATCGATTAGAACACTTTGTGCTCAGAAGACCTCTTTAGAGGGTTGAATAATGGACATCTCAAAATGAAGTATCCAGAAAAGAACAGTAAAGGTGAAAAAGAATGTTTTATTGTCATAATTATCTCTCACTTCTCATCCTCCCCGGAGAAAAGAATAGAAGATGGAAAAGTGAGAGAAGAGAGACTAGGAAGCTTGAAATTTGGACATTTCGAGCTCAGATGGCAAATGATGGAAAACTAGGAGCTGTTCCAACTGAAACTGAAATATCTTCCATCTCATCAAACACCAACTTCCCTCTACATTGAACTATTGGATTTTTAACTGTGTAGAAAACAAGTTTAACTCACCATTCCTTGAGTATGTATGCATGCTGTGCTTTGAGATGCCAATGTGACAAACAACAAAAGAGATGGCCCTTTCACCCCTGCTATTTAAGCTGGGAGTCCGAGCCGGGCCTGGCCAGCTGCTTCAAGGTGAGGATCAAGGTTACATGGGCATAGGTTGAGCAGGAAATAATATGCGAGTGATGGATTCAAGGTATTTGCAAGGGACACAACAGAAAACCAAACTGTAAACCATGGTAGAGTGGAGAGAATGAGATAAATTCTAAAGCGGGGTGAAACTCTGGGGCAAGAGTAAGGGCAGACTTTAGGAAAAGGAAAAGACCTTCTAGTTATGAACAAAACTGCATTTTATTCTTTTCAGTATGTTTGAACATATTGAAAAATAAAACATTTTCCCCATAGAAACTTCTAGGTTAAGATCCTCAAATTAAAAAAAATATATATTTTATTGATTTTTTCACAGAGAGGAAGGGAGAGGGATAGATATAGTTAGAAACATCGATGAGAATCATCGACCAACTGCCTCCTGCACACCCCCTACTGGGGATGTGCCCACAACTAATGTACATGCCCTTGACCGGAATCGAACCCGGGACCCTTCAGTCCGCAGACAGACGCTCTATCCACTGAGCCAAACCGGTTTCGGCACGATCCTCAAATTTGTCACCAAATCCACACAACTCATAAGATAGCCAGAAATACACTTCAAATTTCAGTGCATCGTAGAAAATTATCCAATTCCAAAAATAAGGTAAAAACTTAAAAAGGGACCTAACTGGTTTGGCTTAGTGGCTAGAGCATCATCCTGTGAACTGAAAGGTCCCAGGTTCAATTCCAGTCAAGGGCATGTACCTTGGTTGCAGGCACAACCCCAACAGGAGGTGTGCAGGAGGCAGCTGATCAATGTTTCTCACTTATCGATGTTTCTGTCTATCCCTCTCTCTTCCTCTCTGTAAAAAAAAAAAAAAAAAAAAAAAAAAATCAATAAAATATATTTAAAATAAAACTGAGAAAGGGTGAGCTTTTTTTCTTGAATCTAGAGTGATCATCTAATTAATTAAATCAACATTCAACAACAAGAAAATGGTGCATCTATATCTATATACCAGAATGGTGCATCTATATCTATATACCAGAGGCTGAATATGAGCTGTGAGAGACAGAAGGATAACACAACACAAAACAAACAAACCCCAATTCTTAATTTAGTGTGAGGCACAGACTCATAAACGCTTAATTGCAGGCAACATAATGTGGGAAGTGCTATAGGAACCGTGTGTCCAGATTTCTGTGGTAGACTCCAGAAGGATGATGGAATCTGCCTCGGAATATCAGTAAAGAATTTGCAGAAAGTAACATCTGAGCTGAGCTTTGAAGGATGAGAAAGAGAAAGGAATTTTCAAAGAGTACTTATTAAAAAAAGTGATTGTAGATAAAGCATCTGAAGACTTGTGATGATTCTGGACTTAAAGGGGCTTTTAAAAATGTAGTCACTCAGTACTAGATATTTGTCTTGCTTAATTTCTCTTCTGAAGTAGTGGATTTATTTTATTTTATTTTATTAAAATACAGGGAAATTACCTTTGGTATTTTATGCTGACAGAAAGACTAAAGAGAGAAAAAAATGAAGAGTTAGAGAAGAAAAAAAGATAGACAAGATGTGCAAAGACCTTCTCCTAAAGGAATGGGGGAGTGTAAAATAGAGAAAGAATAAGGGCGCTGAAGAACAACTGCTTGTATCTTCAACAATCCTGGGTGCACACTGGGTAGAACAGTAACAAGACAGCACCCATCTGCAAGAAACCCACAATCCTGTATGTGTGCTCCTTGACGTATCAAACAGACCTGCAAAGGTGAAAATGACTCGTCTTAAACAAGGAAACATAATTAGTATGACTCACATAGAATAAAAGTGAGCCAAGAGAAATTTGGTCCATAGAAAGGCCATTAGTGGGTTCCATTGACTAGAACAGCTAGTTAGTATTAAAGACGGAATGTTGGGGGCCAGACAAGGAGGAGAGATTATAGCACAACCTCCCATGTATGCAGCCTTGCAGTACTGCTGAATGCAGTTTCAAAATGCAACTCACAATCTATTATAGCAAGTCATCCCATATAATACAGAGGTGTGAGGGTTAATATGCAAATTAACCCTCACACCCCCACAAGATGGTTGCGTGTGACCAGGCTGGCAGGAGGGTTAGTGAGGGATGACCAAAGGACTTAACAGCAGGCTGCATGGGCTGACCAGGCCAGCGGGTGGAGGGGGGCAGTTAGGGGCGATCAGGCTGGCAGGCAAGCCCAAGGATCAGACCTAAACTGGCAGTTATACATCCTCCAAGGAGTCCCAGATTGGAGAGGGCACAGGCTGGGTGAGGGGAAACTACCCCCCCCCCCAACATCCCTCCTCCCAGTGCACAAATTTCATACACTGGGCCTCTAGTGCACATAAAGGAGATGCTGCCTGCTCTGTGTGATGAAATTATAAAGAAACTGAACTGTGGAAATCCACATGGAAGCTCAGAGTCCTATACTAATAGGGCTGCTCTACTGAAAACGGAAGGGACCCATACACTCCCACCTGTTCCCTCCGTCCTTCCTTTCCCAGAAGCCTTCGACCTGGAGCCGGAGATCTAGGGGTCTAGTCCCAGCACAAACATTAGTGATTCTAAACGTAAACAGATTATTTTCACCACACAAAAAGCTTGTCTAGAATATGGGGATAATAATCTCTTTTCTTCTCGTAGGTTTGAATGAAAATCAAATGAAACAAGGTATTAAAAGGCACCCCCAAAATTATCAAGGGTTAAACCCACCCATAAATGTTGCTTAGAGATTTTATTTTGGCTGTTTTCCTTAAAAAGCTAGAATTTTGTAGCATGAGTTCTGCCTGCAGGTTCAAAGAATTTTTTTTTTATAAAGTTTGAATCAGCAAATTTACAATGTAATGCACTTTTCTGTTGGCCTTGTATTTTGCCTCACTTCCCCCATCAGACAGTGATTAAATAGCTTTGGGTTTGGATACTATGGATACTCTACCCGTCTTCTTAGTGGAGAAGAGATGTCTGTGAAGGCTGTGAAGATGGGAAGTGTTGCAGGAGTGTTACTGATCTTCTCAAGTTGTTAACTCAATGGAACATTGGACCCACATTTTAGAATCTCAGCCCCAAAGAAGCAGTAACGTGGTGTAATAGCGGGAGCCTGGGCTAAGGGAGCTATAAACTGAATTTGTAATCACACATTGTGGGGATGCTTGCAAAGCCAGATAATAAGGGCAGGGTGTGGGAAAGAGCAGAGGTGGAAATTGTTCTCAAATTTGGTAACTCATTTGCTTCTCCCTTTGGAGAAGAAAATCGATCATCCTATTCCAAAGTGGCGAAGCTCACATTTAAACTAATTCTCCTTACCTGTCTTACCCTCCCTCAACCTCCCCCCTCCCCCCCCCCCCCCCCGCTTCCCTTCAAACATGAATGAAAAAATGTTCAGTCTTTCAAGAAATTCCAGTTCACCATTCCAGTCTCTTCCATTTGGCAAAGCTATCTCACCATATAAGACGAACTGAGCTAGGAAAGCCTCCACTTTCCCCTTCTCTGGCTGAATACCTCAGGGCCAGGAGGGAACTGTAGCTGGGCCTTGTCTGTCTATCTATCTACCTATCTATGTATCTAGGTACCTATGTATGTATGTATGTAGCATCTATCTTTATTTTTTAAAATCTTTATTGTTGAACGTATTACATATGTTCCCTTTTGTCTCCCACTGACCCCTTATAGCTGTTCCCCAACTCCTCCCTCCCCCGGCACCAGGCCTCCACCACCCTATTGTCTGTGTCCAAGGATTATGCATATATGCATACAAGTTCTTTGGTTGATCTCTTCCCACCCACCCACCCACCCACCACCTTCCTCTGAGATTTAACATGGAGAAAAGTGAAGCTCTTGGGATAGGAAAGGCGTTCTGTCTATCAACCTGATACTATGCTAGGGTTTTCATATGGTCCGTTCCCTGTTGAACTTCAAAAACTATTTGAGGCAGATATTAGTATTTGCAGTTTGCAAATGGAAAAACGGAGGCACAGAGGCTTAGTTACGTGCCTAAGACTACATAGTTAGTGAGGATTTGTTCTAGAATTTGAAAGCAGATTTATTTGAATCTACTATGAGACAATGTTAAGGTACAGCATAGGTGGGCATTCAGTAAATTGTCGAATGAAGGACAGAATCTTCCCCTCAGATAATCTGTCTCCATATCCATGGAGCTCCCTCTCATGCCCCTGGCCATATTCTCTTCTTTGTGTGTCTACAGCATTTTCCTGAATATCTGTGACCACATCTTTACCGTGTATGACAGTTACTCACATAGTAGTAATTATATAAAGCACTAAAGGGTGCTTAGATTGAGCTTGTCGTCACTTCAGACCTCTGACCTCATAGTGGATCAGCCTGTCTATCTCTGGCTGGGCAGGCTTTTTACTATGCCTGCTCTGAGCATAGTAAAGAAAACAGATCAGCCTTCCTTTACTGGGACCCATTTTCCTAGTAAATTTCCCCTGACTTGGGGCAGTTGGGGTAAATGTGCCCAGGAGTTATCCCCCATGTGAAATGTGCCTGTTCTGCAGGGGCATC